TTTCAGGTGACCCCCCCAAAGAGGCAGGGATGGGGCACACACAATGCTTTCCATGATCCAGGAAGCCCACGTCCCTCTAAGGGACAGACCTTCTCCACCGGGTGATTTCAGGAGGGCCGCCTTGGATCACGCGCACCATGGATAGGGTTTCCCCAAAACCACCCTCTGCTGCCCCCCCTCCGGGGAAAGCTGCCTTCGGCCCCTAATCTTCCATGAAAAGACAGGAGGTCAAACCTTGAGAGACATTTCTCCTGGCGTGGGGAACCTTGGCCAAGCTGTTTGCTTGTCAAATTTGGGGCGGCCCCTTCACCTTGCAACTTGTTCTACTGACGATGTTACTGGAGGTTTTTACAACCTCGCCTGCTGCTTTTAGTAGGTTTGGCTGGGAGGGGCCTTTCTGGGCTGGGGGATTGTCGATCTATCTCCCCACTACTTTCCCTCCTGCTTCTAAATTCAACGGGAGCCCCGCCTCTCCGCTCAGACCTTTTTCCCCCTCTCAGGTTGTCTGCTGAAGTCTGTTGTCAAAGGCAGTCACATTGGTCACTTTGCTGTTTCATCTGTTTAATAGTAAGTACAGTAGTGCTTCGCATAACGAGTGCACCGATTAACGATGAATCCGCATAGCGATGCGGATTTTGCGATCGCTAATGCAATCACATACTGATGTTTTAATAGGGCGAAAATCGCTTTGCGACGATCGATAAGCGTTTCATTGCGATGTCGGGGGAACAGCTGTTCGGCGGCTCCAAAATGGCCGCTGGAACACCCAAAATGGCTGCGCGCAGCGTTTTCGCGCCCTGCCCTCGCTTACTGAGGGAGCGAAAATGGCGGCCAGATGGGGAAACATTGTAGAATGGTGAGGTGTGGGCTTTTCCATTCCGTTTAGCGATGTTTCCCCATAGCGAAGGTTAATCCGGAACGGATTAATCTCGCTATGCGGGGCATCACTGTAAATGAAACCTTTTTTATTCTTTTTACTACTAATGTCTCTGAGAGGGCCAGTTGATGAGAAAAAAAGTGGGAACGTGAAGCAATTCTGCTCCGTGAATCCCTAAACTAACAAAAAAAAAATTCCAAAGCTCTGCAATAGATATTACTCTCATTAGTTTTAAATCATGACTTCTGCTCAATTAAGATGAGCGGTGAGAACACTTTCCCCACAACTTACCCTTTTCCCAAGTGGGCCAGGTGGGCCATTTTCACCAGTTGGCCCCGGTGAACCCTGAAGAGTGGGGAGAAGAGAAGGAGAGTTAAACGGGGAGGGGGGGCAGGTATCCAGACCCTGCACAAGAGAGGTTGGCAACCCAGAGAGTGGAGGGCTGTATGGGCTGGTTAGGAAGGTCACGAAAGAAGGATGAGAGTGGATATTATTTATTGTGGATGGTTTGCAAAATGAGAGAGACAGACTGGGGGTTCACACTTAGGAGAGAGGTCTAGAACAGGGCCTTCATAAGAAGAGTAACCTAGAACCCACCTTAACTCAGACCTAGAACCCTTACCGCCTCTCCAGGTTCTCCATCTTCTCCCCTGTCGCCTTTGGCTCCATCTTGGCCCTGTGAAGGGAGGGACAAAGACAGGGCAGTCCCTCTGGCCCAGAGACCCCGGCCCCACCCGGGGGGGCTGGGAGGAAGGCAAGGGGGCCCAGATTTGGGGGGAGGATGTGAATGATACTCACCCGTGGTCCCATTTCACCGGGGGGTCCCGGGTCTCCAGGGAAACCTACCGGGCCCTAAGAGAGGAGGAGAGAACAGACGTGACGCTGAGCAGGAAGGCAAACCCACCTCCCCTTGACCCCCTTCCCTGAAGATTGAAGGCAGGCAGGTCTCGGGGTTCCCTTTCTCCCCATTTAAACCCATCAGAGCCCTCGGTACTCACCCGTGGTCCCATTTCACCGGGGGGTCCCGGGTCTCCAGGGAAACCTACCGGGCCCTAAGAGAGGAGGAGAGAACAGACGTGACGCTGAGCAGGAAGGCAAACCCACCTCCCCTTGACCCCCTTCCCTGAAGATTGAAGGCAGGCAGGTCTAGGGGTTCCCTTTTTCCCCATTTAAACCCATTAGAGCCCTCGGTTGCCCCCCCCCATACACACACACACACAACACCACCATCCCCCTTCTCTCACTTACTGGGTTGCCTTTCGGCCCATCGTCTCCCACGGGCCCTTTTGGACCGGGGGGTCCAGGATCACCCGCCGTGCCCGGTTCCCCTTTCTCTCCCCTTTCCCCCCGTGGGCCCTGAAAAAAAGAGCGATAAAAAGTTGAAGTTAGGATCCTCCAGTCTGAGGAGCAGTCTACCCTTTGATTGCCGGCCGTAGAAGGGGCAAACCTCTGGATGTATGCCCTCGCCCTTCCCCTTGTGGGTCACCCACTTGTGGGAACCCCAGGCTGGCCTCTCCCAGAAGCTGGTATGTTTGGGGTGCCAGATATTGGAGGGAGGAGGGAAGCCCCGTTGCAAGATTCGCACCATGATCTGGCCCGAGGCAGGGCTCCTGTTGGTCTTATGGGGAGAGAAGGGGAGCAGGGGAGAGATTCCTACCTTGCCACCCGGTTCCCCAGGAACCCCGGGTCCGCCGGCTTCTCCTGGCTCACCCTGGAAGGATGGAAAACAGCCGTGAGCACCTATCTTCCCATCCCACTCTGGGCAGCCCATAAAAACCCAGGTCGCAATAAAAGAAGACACTCGGGAAGGCCAGGGGTTGGGAGTCTTTTCAACTCCAGGATTGACAGGGAGGAACCTTTCCAGGCTGTCCATCACAAAACGCGTGAACCAATCATTCCCTCTTGCCTCTGAATTCAAAGAGAGTCCCGCCTCTCTGCTCGGTGCCTTTTTCCCCCCTCTCGAGATCTGAAAGCAGCAGCCACGCTTTTGTCAGATTGCTGCTTGATCCGTCCAAGTGTAGAACCTTTTCTTCTTACAAACGTCTCCGAGGGAGTGACTGAGACGGCAAGTTCCACTTGACGAGAAAAAGGAGTGGCCTAATCTGGGGAACTCCAAGCTATTCTGCTATTCTTCCCTAACTTGGGAAATATAAATATCTTTTGGGCCCCGTCATGGCAGGCCGCTAGCCTCCCTCTCAGTCCCCTTTTGGGGCCGCCCTCTCCCTTCTTCGAGGCCTACCCGGGCATCCTAACCCTCAGCCACCTACCTTTGGTCCTGGGGGGCCAAGGTTTCCAACGCCTCCGGGGGGGCCTTGTGGACCCTGCAAGTGGAAGGGGGATGAACATTATGGCTGCCACGGGGTCACCCTGGGTCAAAAAACAAGGGTCAAGGGAGGGTGACCCATGGCGCCGAAGCTGGCCATGGTGGTGGTGGTGGGATTCGCACTCACGTTCGCTCCAGAGGGTCCAGCCGGGCCTCGGGGTCCTGGGGGGCCAGGCGGTCCCTGCAGGGGAAAGAAAGCATTGACTCGTTAGCATCGGCTGCCCCTTCCGTTCTTTCGCCGACGCTCAAGGCAGCCAACGAGCTTCAGCCGAAAGAGGCCGTTTCCCGGGAAAAGGAAGGTTCACTGAATCGGGAGCCTGGGAAGCTTTCCTTCCCCCCCCCCCACATACCCTTGAGAAAGGAAAGGAAAGGGAGCTGGGGAGCTGGCACTTACCAGGGGCCCCACGTCTCCAGTCTCACCCTTTTCGCCCGATGGTCCGGGCATGCCCTGTCCGGAGAGAGAAGGTCAAGAAAGGCCGCTGGGATGTCACTGCCCACGCCAGGGGAGGGGGGAACCCGGAGGGACCGGGCTCTGCTCACCTGCAAGCCAATGGGCCCTGGGGGGCCATTGAACCCTCGGGTGCCCTCGTCACCTTTCGCCCCAAAGTGGCCCTGGGGACCCCTCGCGCCAGGCTCTCCGTCGGCACCCTGGAAGGAGAGGGGGAAGGGGGGGAGAGGAGACGGGGGTCAGGAGGAAGGCAACCCAACCCAAAACACCTCAAGGAGCGTCACCCGCCTGACACACTTGGGTCACGCTGGGGCTGCATTCTTGCCCCTCTGGCGCTCTTGGCACAGAGAGGCGGAACGGTTTACAGACCGGGAGGACAGACACCAGAAAGGAAACACCTCTCCACTCGGGTTAAACTGTGGAACTGCCTGCCACAGGACGTTAGGGGCTGTCAGTGGATCTACTCCACGCTGGTGCGTCAGGAGCCACATGCCTCTCTATCAAGAGTTGGAATGAGCGTGAAGGTATGTAGACGCGCGGGGGGGTGGAGGTTTCCCAAGTCAGAGAGAGAGCCTTCCTTTTACTTCAGGTGGAAAACGAAGCGCACCATCTTGGGAAGGCCACCCTCCTCCTCTCCTGGCGTGGTCAAGTCGTGTTCTCTCCCATTCGTTTTGTTCAAGGAGGTTTTACACCTCACCGGTTGGGTGACTTACCAGGAGGGGGGGGAAGATACATATTTTATATAGGATAATAGAATCTTGCAACTGCACAGCTGGAAAGGGGAACCACTGGATCATCTAGTCCATCCCCTGTCAAGGAGGCACAGCGTGGAATCGAACTCTCAGCCTCAGGTTCTGAAGCTAAACCCCCCGAGCTATCCTGCCATTCTTGATGGCAAAGAGGGAAAGGTGAGAGGAGCAAAATTGCACACCAAGCAGCAGGGGAATGGCGTGCGGAGGCTTGGGCAAAAAAAGAAGAGTCATTCTCTTCCGAAAATCCACCCAAGCATGTTGCTGACGTTCTTCATTTATTTAAAATACGTTTACTCCGCCTTTTTCTTTAAAAGGATCCCTATTGATCCAGCCTTGCTGTTAAGAACAAGGTGAGAGCAGAGCCCTCGCACAAGGATCCAGGAGCGAGGGTCACCCCCCATCACCACCACCACGCCCGGGCCCACCTGGATCATGGCCTGCTTGCTGGGCTGGACAGACAGTTTGGAAAGGATTTTGTTCAAATCCAGAGTCCCCCCCCCCTCTCAGTAGCCACAGGCGCAGACCTCCAAGACTCAAGGGAAGGAGGAACGGACCTTGCCTCGAGAATTTTTGTTCATCCGCAAGGTTAACGGGGGGGAAATTTGGAAGAAAGGAGAAAACGAAGTGCAGCAAAAATACAAATAACTTGTGAATGTGTGATTTTGGGGGGAAAGTGTTCCCAAAAAGCAGAGAAATTCTGACACACACAAAAAAAATGAAGACAGGGACTCATCATCCAATATAGGAAGAGGATTTTTAGAAGACCAGTGGGTTTCAGAGAAACGGCTCACGAAAGCCGGCCTGAGCGATTTCCGCTTTTCTCGCCCTCCACCCGCAGAGACTCACCGCCGGTCCTGGTTGTCCGAGGGGGCCGAGCGGGCCTGGGGGGCCGGGGGGACCCTGGAAGAAGGAAGACAAGGCTGTGAGCCACTGTGGCCGAGGAAGGCTGCCGTCCTGCCCCTACCTTCCCACCCAAGGATCAAGGGTGCCCCCCTCCCCCAGCCAGCCCCCCTCCTCAGTCTCCCACCAACCTGCTCTCCTTTTCCCCCTCGGTTGCCCTTCTGGCCTGGGTCGCCCACTTCGCCCTGCGGAGAGAGAAAAGAAAGAGATAAAAAATTGGGGGGTGGGCCACAGGGATGATTACAAGGCCCTGCAGAAGGAGGTGTAAAGTGGGGGGACAGGTGAGGATAGCTCAGAAGCCTTACCTTGTCCCCGTCTTCGCCAGGGCCCCCCGGCGGTCCTGCAGGACCCGGCAGTCCAACGGGACCCTGAACGCCGTCACGGCCGGACGGGCCGATGGGGCCTTTTTCACCCTGGGAGGAAGAACGGACAACACTGGATTTGGGGGGGGGGAGGGTCCAGTTCCCTGATTCTCAAGACTCAATCCCCCAGAATCCTAGGAACCCTGAAATGACAGGGGTGAGACTAGATGGCCTCTGGGTTCCCTTCAGACTCTGATTCTATAGCCTGGCAGTCACCCTGACTGGTACGCAGGGGTCCTAGCCCCCCCCTCCCAACTGGAGCGTTCAGTGGCTTCCTGCCCTGCCCCCACCACCACCCCATCCTGCCCCCTCATTTGGGGTGTTGCTCTCTCTCCCTCCTAAGTAACCCAGGAGTCTTGGGTTTGAATCACACTCACAGGTACGCCTTTCTCTCCGGCTGGACCAGGCGGGCCTTGAGGACCGGGCCTTCCTGGGGGCCCAACGGGGCCACCTGATCCTGGTCCCCCTCTCTCCCCTGGAGAACCCTAGACAAGAAAGAATAAAAAAGGGGGGTGTGGAACAGATCCTGAAGCTGAGGCTCCAATACTTTGGCCATCTCATGAGAAGAGAAGACTCCTTGGAAAAGACCTTGATGTTAGGAAAGTGTGAAGGCAAGAGGAGAAGGGGACGACCGAGGATGAGATGGTTGGACAGTGTCATCGAAGCTGCTAACATGAATTTGACCCAACTCTGGGAGGCAGTGGAAGATAGGAGGGCCTGGCGTGCTCTGGTCCATGGGGTCACGAAGAGTCAGACACCACTAAACGACTAAACGAACGAATGGGGTGGTTAGGGATATGGTGTCGCTGCAGGTTAAACTGCAGAAGCCTCTCTGCTGCAGGGTCTGAAGACCCACCGTCATAAGATCGAATCCATGCGACAGAGGGAGCTCCCGTCGCTTGCTTGTCCCAACTCCTCACCAACCTCGCAGTTCGCAAACATGTAAAAATGTGAGTAGATAAATAGGTACCACGATGGTGGGAAGGTAACAGCGTTCCGTGTCTAGTTGCGCTGGCCACGTGACCACGGAAACTTGTCTTCGGACAAAAACACTCGCTCTATGGCTTGGAGACGGGGATGACCTCCATGCCCTAGAGTCAGACACAACTGGACTAAATGTCAAGGGGAACCTTTACGTATGGGGTGGTTACGGTCTTGAGGGGAGGCAGAGGAGAGAGAGAGAGAAAAAGAGAGAGATAGAGAAGGAGAAAAAGGTCAGAGAGAGAGAGAAAGGGAGAGAGAGAGAAGGAGAAAAAGGTTGTCTTGAACCAACAGGTCACCCACCCTTGCCACGGACGGAGAACACCTGTAACAAAAACCACTCACTACCACCGTGTAGAGAAATGCTCAAAGGCGGCACAGGCTCTCGCCGTTTTCAGTGGCCAGCTCTCCGCCTTAGGAAAATAAAACGTGGCACCCATCGTGGCAACCGGCATGAATTGCAA